GAGTATAAGGTTTCCGTTTGGAATAATAAGAAACTTCTGGAACTAGACATCAGTCATAGTTACACATAATAAATATATTTAAAACCACTTAATTTTATACTTTTAAATAGTTAAAATAGCAATTTTATGTTATTATATTTAACATAATAAAAATACGTAAATATATAACCATTCTGCAATAAACTCTATACTTAGTAAGGAGAAGACACCACACAAATAAACACTCTAGAATAACTTATGAGTAGTCCTTTTAAGCTTTTTACAATAAAAATTAGCAGTAGGTGTCATGTGCTAGGCACAATTCCTTTCTTGAAGGTGTTGTCCAAAGTAAGATGGATATTCTATTAATAGGATATGTTAACGGTACAAAATGATGGTTTTCATTATGACAAAATTTTTATTTGAAATAGATCAAAGGCCTTATTGTGAAACCAGAAACCTTAAACTGTAATTCTGGGGGGGATGGAAAAACACTTCAAGATATATACACATGGTTGAATAGATGGCTTAATGTTTATGAGCACTCGCTGCTCTTCCAGAGAACCAGGTTTGATTCTCACAACCTACATGGAGGCTCACAACTACCCATAACTCCAGTTCCGAAGGGATCCAACACGCTTTTTGAACATTGGTAGGCACCAGGTGGTACACATACATGCATGCAGGCAACATACTCATCGATATAAAATTTAAAAATTAACACAGAAAGTTTTTAAAGATATACAGGCATAGACAAAAATCTTTCTGAGCGAGATTAAAGTAGCCAGGAAGTAACAGCAACCGCTGACAAATCGTATTGCATGAGTTAAAAAAGCGCCTGTGCACACACAGGAAACGATTGACACAGTGAAGACACGGCTTACAGAAAGGGAGAGAATCTTTGCCAGTGATACATCTGTTGTGAGACTCATTATGGACTGAATCTGAAGTCTCTCCCAGAGGCTCAGGCCCCTGCTTTGAATGCTTGTTCCTTGCATAGTAGCACTGTTTTAGAGGGCTGTGGAACCTTCAGGAGACGGGATTTAGCGGTTAGAACTGGGTCATGAAGAGAAGAATCATTCGCTATTTTTCTCACTGTTGTGACAAAATACTTGGCAAAAACAACTTAAAGGACAGGCCCACCTGGGGCCATCCTTTGCCAGTACTGTCCTTCCTGGGATGCGGCTGCAGCAGCAGCAGCAACAGCAGGAACTTCCAGCAGCTGGTCCTGTGGCAGTCCACGGTTGTCTTCCATTAGGGCAAGAATGGCACCCGAGTTCTCAAGTGTACCACACCGCCGTGCCCAGTTCTCATGCAAGCTGTAGTAAGCTCTATGAGGTCTGCATTCCCCTCCTCCCTTGCTCTCCAGTCGGAATGCCTTATTGATTTCTCTCAGCAACCGTAGCTCTATTCTGTTATTTCATGAACTTAGAGTGAGTTGTGAACAACATTCTCTCATTTGAGTATAAGCTTCTTAATAGCCATAGCAGCACCACAGCCTGTAATTACTTCAGCCTAGTGTCCAATATTAATTAATCATTCATTCATTCATCCATTCATTCATTCACTCACTCATCCAACAACTAGTCCACTATTCAATACTCTGTAATGCACTAGGGGGGAAAATCACAAAGAAAAAAGGTAACAACTAAAATTTAATAATATAGAAAACAATTCAAGCTTGGAAACCTCTGGGAAAAAAAACCAAGAATACTGAAGTAGACCAAGTTTGCTGGAGCATTAGCTGAAGCAGCCCAGAGCTGACTTGTTTCCACAGCCTGTGTGCGTGCTCCTGGGTACGCGCTCCTCTCCTAGCGCTTTGATCATCTTATGTGATCTGAGGCCCTGTGGTTCATATATAAGACAGAGTCCCAGTGTGAGTAAAGTTAAATCCAACCCATGTTTACTTACAATAAATAAATAATAAGCCGTAAGAACGGGGAGGGGAGGAGAGGAGAAAAGACAGAGCTGTTCACCTGTGGTCAGGTGCAAAATGAAACGGCCTAGCTGACTGTGTGGGCTCTCGGAGGGGAGCTTGTTCCCCTTTGAAGCGTTCTACTGAAGGAAAACATACTCCTGTTTCATGTGTACATTTTAGTGACATTTATTTCGAGTAACGTCTTCGGGTGTGTGCACTTACAGGATATTCGTTTGCCTGTGTCTTTAATGTAGGTGGTTAGGTGGTTGGTTGATTGGTTGGTGACAGGCTCTTGCTATATAACCCAGGCTGGGCTTGAACTTGTGATTTTCCTACCTCTCAGCCTCCCAAGGGCTGAGTTTCCAGGTCTGCACTCCAGTGGCAGGTTCAATATAAAGCAGTTTATATTTAGTCTTTCACACTATTGACTTCATTTTTCAAATTATCATTGTGTTAGTCAGTTTTCTATCATTATCACAAAATTCTTGAGATAACCAGCTTTAGCACACTGTCTTGGGTGGTTACTGATTCTGATTTTTGCTTCCTTTGTTGGTGTCTCATCAACGTCAAAGAAACCCCAGGGGCTGGAGAGATGGCTCAGCAGTTAAGAGAACTGATGGGTTCTCCAAAGGACCTGAGTTCAACTCCCAACACACACATGATGGCTCATAACCATCTGTAACCAGGGATACCTGGTGCCCTATTCTGGCCTTCACGGGCACCAGACACACAAGTGTTGCACAGAAATGCATCGAGGCAAAACACTCATCATACACATAAAATAAATACCTTTTTATAAAAAGAAAATGGAACACTGAACCATTTCTACTTTTACAAGTAAGACATAATGAATCTGAAAATTTTTAAAAACATCTTATTTCAAAAGTCTCATTAACCCCAGCACTCCAGGAGGCAGAGGCAGGTAGCTCTCTGTGAGTTTGAGGCTATCCTGGTCTATAAAGCAAGTCAAGGACAGCCAAGGCTACACACAGAGAAACCCTGTCTCAAAAAATAAAAAAATAAATAAATAAAATAAAAATAAAACAAAAATCCAATTAATTCTGAACAATGAATTTTCAATGATTTATCAATATGTCTCTACAAATTTAAATATCCCCTAGTATGTAGATCTACATACATAATACATACCTTAACATGGTGTCAGCCCTGCTTGGTTAAAAATCCTGGCTCGAACTGTTACAGAGTTAAAGATGTTGAACTGACATGAACTGATTGGCCTGCTCTTTTATCACCTGTCCCTGAGTGTGGAACAGGCTTACCAGGCCACCGAGGAAGACAGTGCAGCCAGTCCTGATGAAACCTGATAGACTAGGATCAGAAGGAAGGGGAAGAAGACCTCCCCTATCAGTGGACTGGGGGAGGGGCATGGGAGAAGAAGGGGAGGGTGGAATTGGGAGGAGAAGAGGGAAGGAGCTACGGAGGGATACAAAGTGAATAAATTGTAATTAATAAATTTTTTAAAAAGAAATTTTAAAAAATATATTTTAAAAAAATGTTGAATGAGCTAGGCAGTTGTGGCAAACACCTATAATCCCAGCACTTGGAAGGCAGAGGCAGGAAAATCTCTGAAGTTCGAGGCCAGCCTGGTCTACAAAGCAAGTTTCAGGACAGCTAGGATTACACAGAGAAACCCTGTCTCAAAAAACCAGGAAAAAAATTGTTGAGCGATTTTTTTTTTGATCCCTGAATATCATTCATCTGTGCAAACACAATTTCCCTATTAACCCATAGTGAGCGAGGTTGTGGTGAGCTCAGTGGTCTCAGCAGTTCACTAGACTCAGTTTCTAAAGGGGTGAGTTATCTTACTTTAAAGTAGCAATGCCTGCGTTAGTCAGCTTTTCATTGCTGTGAAAAATACCAGTAGGAACTAAAACAGGAAAGGTTTATTCTAGTTCCTGGTTTCCGAGGTTCAGTCCATGATAACCTGGTTTCCTTGCTTTGTACCCGAGGTAATATACAATGTCATGGTGGTGGAGTGTGTGGAAGGGGGAGATGGCAGCTGTGGGGGTGGGGTGGAGTCACGAGATACACTTCCAGGGCACGCCCTTAGTGAGATGACTACTTCCAACTAGATCCCACCTCCTAGGTGTCACCACCTCCCAATAATGCCAACAGATTATGAGCCTGTTAATGGATTAATCCACTGATGGAGCTGAAACCCTCATGACTAGTCACGCTCCCCCTCACCAATTGGCAACTAAGCTTTTAACAGGAGAATCTTTGGGTGACATTTAAGATTCAAGCAATAACAACATTCATCTTGTAGGGCTGGAAAAATCGAATGGAATCCAACATGACATGCACACGGAAGTCAGTCCACGGTAACTCTTCCTGTCCAGGCTTCACACTTGTATGCTCATGCACACGGTGAGCCTAACACACACAGCCTCAACCTAGACTTCATTCATTCATTCAGTATTCTCCATTGCCTGGACGTATGGCTCTTCACTGCTTCTGCCCCATGTCACCCTCCCACCATGTTATTGTCTCTAGGGAATGATCTCTGGGTCTGCTGGACATTGATCTTCAAACTGAGATTGACCTCATGAACCAGACCAGGTCAGAGCCCAGGAGCCTACATCTCTGGCAGGCGTTTATTGGAGGGTATCTCTATGGCTCACACACAGCATCAGCAGTTGATAGCATAGTCCTCACTGCCAGGAGAGTCGTCTTTTCCCCCCTTCATTCGTCAGTTTATCCTCTGAAGTCACCACTTCAACGTGTCTGACCAGGTGTCTATGGCATGGTAACACTTGAACCTTTGTATTAATTGTTTGTCTTTGGTTTCTCTAGGAATTGCTTGATCTTTTCGTCCCTGCATGTTGTTTAAAACAAGATAAAAGTTGACAGAATATAACCTGCCTAAACCAGATTCATTTAAACATATTTACACTTACACACCTTAAAATACGTACCTTCCTTGAAATGAATCCACTCCCAAATACAGAGTTGTTTGGAGTCATTAGTTCACTGCCTGAAAACTCGGGAATGGTTCCTAGAGGAATCGTGTGTTCTGCATAACCAATATCTTATGCGTTGGATCAAAGAGCCTAACTAATGTTTAATGCTGTGTTATTTCTAGATACTATGAGAAGCTGTGTGGCAAAGCTGTTCTTTACCTGTTCCTTAAAGGGTCATTACTGCCTGTACAGCAAGTCCAGTTTCACCCTCATCAGCCAAGCGCCCCAGCCCTGGATCCAGATCATGTTTCTCTTCCAGCAGGTGTGTCTTAAGTTGTGCCCACTGCGCTCCTGAACAAGCTGGTAGGATGTGAGGTTCTAATCACTTTTACTGAATTATTAATCCTTTGGCCAAAAATGGTACATATAAAACAACAAGCTATTTACATCCATCCTTAGCACAGATTTTCTATCTTTTAAGATAATTTCTTTAAAAAAAAAAAAAGATACTGAATCATTAATCAGCAAGTCCAACCTATTCTCATGTTGCATACCCTTAAGCTTTAAATGAGAAGGAGAAAGGAGAGGGGGAAGGGAAGAAAGGCTGGGTACCACAGGAAAGCATTTGCCAGCATCTTGGGAGCCCTAGGTTCAATCCTCAGCACTAAAGTAAAAAAGAAAAAAAGAAAATTAAACTACTTCCTGTAATGTAGCAGTAAAAGCTACCATCTGGAGAGTTTCCCTTCATCTACCTTCTTCTAAAACCCAATTAATTTTAGTTTGAGTATATTATGTTTGACATTGCTAAGTTTCTGAAACCCACTTTATCCTAATGAATACATGTGCACAGCAGAAATTACAAACAAAAGCTTTTAACATAACAATGATGAACTTTATGCCAAAATATCAACATGGAAAGAGACTCTTATCTGGACATGGTGATGCACGCCTCTATTGCCAGCACTCAAGGAGGCAGAGGCAGGCAGATCTCTGTGATCTCGAGGCCAGCCTGGTCTACAAATCAAGTCCATGACAGCCAAGGTGACAGAGAGAAACCCTTTCTTGAAAAAGAAAGAAAGAGAGAGAGAGAAAGAAAAAGAGAGAGAAAGAAAAAGAGAGAGAAAGAAAGAACTTATTTAGAAATAGTTAGAAGTATTAAAATTGCACTTAAAATATAAATGAAGATCTGGAGAGGACAGGAACTCCACGAGGAGAACAACAGAACCAAAAAATCTGAGCACAGGGGTCTTTCCTGAGACTGACACTCCAACCAAGGACCATGCATGGAGATAACCTATGACCCCTGCACAGATGTAGCCCATGGCAGTTCAGTATCCAAGCAGGTTCCATAGTAATAGGAACAGGGACTGTCATTGACATGAACTGATTGCCCTGCTCTTTAATTACTTCCTCCTGAGGGGGGAGCAGCATTACCAGGCCACAGAAGAAGACAATGCAGCCACTCCTTTTGAGACCTAATAGACTAGGATCAGAAGGAAGGAAAAGAAGTCCTCCCCTATCAGTGGGCTTGGGAGGGGCATGTGTGCAGAGGGGGGAGGAAGGGAGGGATTGGGACAGGAGGAGGGAGGAAACCACAGGGGGGATACAAAGTGAATATAGTGTAATTAATAAAGAATTTAAAATATATATATATAAATGTAGATTATAGAGTGTCAGCACCAGAAGAGATCTTAAGTACCATTGTTACTGACTAAGGAAATTGAAGGGCGGAACTCATATTATTGGATCTAAAATATAGTAATCTTCGTTGTTGCCTGTCCTTTGAAAACAAAACAGGCAATATTTATGGGTAAGAGAAGAGTGGGCAGAAGTAGAAAATACAGGATGTGAGTGTTGTAATGTACTTGAAAATTAGGCCAGTGACACAACCATTAAATTACTTCAGTTAAGAAATATTTCTGTAATATTTTATCATAGACCTGCAAAAGTCACCTGAGGTGGTGAAGTGGCTCTGACGACCTGAGTCTAATTCACTGGATCCCCATGGAAGTGGAGGACCAACTCCTGCCAGTTGTCTTCTGACGTGCACTTATATATAACATAGCATGCACATGCCCGTAAACACGCACACAAATAAATAACATTTTTCAATTTAATAAAATAGCTTAAAGACAGTACCTTTCATAGACATCATAGATTATCAGATATAAAGCACTGGCCCGGTACAGATTACCTCGTTTCAAATTGTTGGCCAGTGAGCTCTCCAAGACATCTAAACATTACAAGCTATTGTCATTACTTGGGTTTACTTTCTAGAACTCTATTAATCAACTCTGTTGCTGAAGACAACACATACTTGAATCAAAGAATATGGAGAGACCAAACTGGTACTAGTTTATTTCATTTTATTTCATTTTATTTTATTTTATTTTATTTTATTTTATTTATTACACTTTATTCACTTTGTATCCCCCCATAAACACCTCCCTCCTTCCCTTCTGGTCCCACCCTCCCTCCCCCTTCTTCACACATGCCTTTCCCCAAGTCCACTGATAGGGAAGGTCTTCCTCTCCTTTCTTCTGATCTTAGTCTATCAGTTCTCATCAAAAGTGGCCGCATTGTCATCTTCTGTGGCCTGGTAAGGCTGCTCCCCCCTCAGGGGGAGGTGATCAAAGAGCAGGCCAATCAGATTATGTCAGAGACAGTCCCTCTTCCCATTACTATGTAACCCACTTGGACACTAAACTGCCATGGGCTACATCTGTGCAGGGGTTCTAGGTTATCTCCATGCCTGGTACTTGGTTGGAGTATGAGTCTCTGGGAAGACCCCTGTGTTCAAATTTTCTGGTTCTGTTGCTCTCCTTGTGGGGTTCCTGTCTTCTCCAGATCTTATTATTTCCCACTTCTTACAGAAGATTCCATGCACTCTGCCCAACAGTTGGCCATAAGTCTCAGCATCTGCTTTGATAGTCTGCAGGGCAGAGCCTTTCAGAGGCCCTCTGTGGCAGGTTCCTAGCTTGTTTCCAGATAGAACACATGCTACCAGGTGAGAAAAGTAATTCTCCACATCATCCAGCTGTAAGTTCTTCAAGCTAAGTAACTGTCCTGGGAAGATTACACACTGATGTAGTGGCACAAATGTAAGAGTAACCAAACAACTTTTGGTTGCATTTAAGGTCCATTCCATAAGCTGGAGCTCATGCCTTCATCATGAACAGGGCCAAGAACCAATGGTTAGGTAGATCACGGGCTCTCGGGGAGAAAGTACTACTAGGTTTTCTGCTAAACGAACATAATAATTACACTTTTGGGGGTTTTGAGACAGTTCTTTTAATCTTAATCTTATATTGCTATACCAATAGAATAGGGTGTCTCCCAAACCATATCAGAGAAGCTTCTTTTTACAATATATGACAACTAACACAAAATCCCACAATTGGTCAACATGTAAAGCATAAAAGCCTGGAGTGATCAACCCTAAATGGGACATTTCGTCATACTTCCTCCCCAAGGCAGGAACCATCATGATGGAGAGGGTGGACTGAATGATTTTAAGAGCCAGAATAGTGAATGACCACAGCAAACAGTAGTTTTCCAGACACAATGTAGCAGCTGCATATCAGTTCATGGTAGCTGCAACAGCTTACACAGATCAAGCCAGAGAAAGTCACAGCGCAGGAGACGGAGGTGGTCGTGAAGGCCCGCCCCTGGCTGAGAAGCTTCCAACAGTGGATGGATGGTCAGTTAGCTTTTCTGGGATGCAGATCCTGACAAGCTACCCCACTCCAGATGGTCAAATGCCTGTGTATATACTGGTAGCCCTAGGTGGGCTCAGGCTTGAGAAGAAGAGGAAGGATGCATGAAACTTGGAAAGAATCATAGTAAGAGAATAAAGAAGGAAGCACAGAACAGGGAATAGAGGAGTAGACCTGATCAAAACATCTTATATGCATATATAAAATTTTCAAACAGGACCTTCTTAAAAAAAAAAAAGAAAACTCAAAATTTAATAAAATTTAAATGTCACAAATAAAAATAGTCTAACATATCTTTATGAAGTCAGGCTTATTAAGGAATAATGAAATGTAGTGCTGGCTGCTTCATAATTATAAAATGTAACTACAGTAATTAAGAAAAGGTATAGAATCTGCCAATTTTTACTGCAGTATGACTTCTTAAGAACATTTAATAACATCTTGCAAAGAACAGCTCAGACTTTGGTGTGAGCCAAATTACATAGAAACACACACACACACACAAAAAAAAAAAAAATAACATTCACTTTTCTCTTAGAATAATAATATTCATTTTCTACTCATTTTTTTTCAATAGTTTTCATCAGTGATTTTTGTATTTGGCTCCATCTTTGGCTTTGTTCTTAACTTTCTGAAAGCACACCAAGAAAAAAGTGTTTTTTCACTCTCTCAATCTGTTTTATTGACAGTCTGATTCTTTCTACTCTTCTTTAAGGAAATTCACCAGGAAGTGTCTCTTTGTAAAGTTTTCTTCGAGCTTATTTCACTGTAGTGCTTTTTCTCTTCGTCCACACCTATGATGTTATACACTCTGGGTAAATCTTGGCTGTGGGCAGAGCCAGAACAAACTTTCATTTATTTGGTAACTACAAACCCATCACTGGTCTTGTATACTTGACCAACTCTCGCTGTCATGTCAGCGTCCCACATTTATGGAGTTCTCAGACTTAGATGCATCTACTGGTTCCTTTTTGGATTAATGACTCATTAAATCAAGCGCTGCTCCTATTGAAACAAGGTATCATATACTGTATGTTACTCAAATTAAATTGCAGTCACTGGCTCATACACTTTTAAAATCTGTCACTAACTTGGGGTCCACAATTCTCTGCTCTTCCCAATTCGCATAAGAGACCACTCACTCATTTTCCTGACAATCATGAGATTTTTTTTTCCTTAAAAACTAGTATTTTTCACTCACTAAGTAGAAGGCTGTGCACACAGACTGTCTAGAAAATCTCAGTTGTTGTCATGAAAATATGATTTATCTGTTGTATCCTACCACATGATAATGAATAACATTTATGGTATTGTATGTGAATAAATGATATTTATTGATGTTTTATATGTTTATCAAAACTCTTCTCTTAAATTGATTTGGCTTCTCACATCCAAAAGTGGAACATTCCAGCATATCAAGGATTACCAGTCACATCACAGTAAATATGTACACATGAGTTTAACATGCCCATTAAAAAGCTGATTCTCATTGGCTGTACTGAATTCTAGATAAATGTAATGTCGCATTGACAGCACATAAAAGCTCAAGCTTTAAGAACATTCACCCATTTAATATTTGAGGATGAAAGAATATTTTTTGTCCCACACTCACTCACAACATTCATATTCCATAATTATATGATGAATTATTTAATTGCTTGATATCTATTCTTTATAATCCACTGTACATAAATAGACTCTTTTGAATCCTTCTTTTAACTTCATGCTTTCATTCTCAGATCCTTAATAAAGTCAATATGAATATGTATATTTACCACTTTGCAACTAAGTAATATTACTGGAAAATCATTAATATAATACTATATTACAAGATTTAGACACATATACAGGCAAGAATATAAAATCTAATTAATTTTAAATTTCTCTTAGAAACTCAGAAGTGTTAGCTAAATCATGTATTTGCTCTTCAGTATAGACTTCTGTTTTATCACTTAAAGTTACATAATGTTACTCTTCAAAGCTGGCCTACATAGTACCTGGGAGTCCATTAGATTTTATCATTGGGCCAAGAGGTAATGTGGTGTCTCCATCCTTATGCCTACACAGAGCCTGTTTCCTGAACCCTTGTCCATTCAGAGTGGTTCTGTGCAGTTCCTCAAAGCCCTATGGGAGAAGACTCAGCCCAGGGGAACCCTCAGCTTTGAAGTTGCCATGACAGAGTCCACATTTCCACAACAGAAGGTAAATGCTTTTCTTCTCACACATGGATTCGGTGTTACCTTTAAATGATTTGCATTTTTCTTCATGATTCAATTTTCCCTTCTTTCTTTCTTTCCTTCTCTTATTATCAGAAGATACTTATTAAGCAATTACTTTTGGAATTTGGTCTTATGGTGTATACCTGTTATCCTATCGCTCAAGAAGCCATAGCAAACAGATTACAAGTTCAAGCCCAAGTTGGGAAGCATAGTGAGACTTTGTGTCAGTAATAGCAATATAATAATAAATGATGACGATGATAATAACAACTTTTCTGTGCTACCATGCTGAAGTCAACACAGTGTCACTGGTAGACAGGGCAACTGTTCTTTAGGCCCACAATTCATGAAATAGAGTTTTCTTGGACCACAGAAAGCCACAAGCACTACATAGAATCAATACATCTTACACAGGGGCTAGAGAGATGCCTCAGTGGTTAAAAGCACTGGCTGCTCTTCCGAAGGACGCAGGTTCTATTCCCAGCACCCATAGGAAAGCTCACAACTGTAATTCTGTAGGCATCAGGCACAAAGATGGTGCACAGACATACTTACACGCAGGCACTAACATATGCACATTAAATGAATAAACATTTTTTTTACTTTATAGAAAACTCAGTAAATTAAAAAGAGTAGCAGGAAGCTTTTTCCCTCTTCCCCTCACCTTCCCTCTTCCCCTTCTGCAATCACCACCAAGCAAGAAAATGAAGATGAGTTGGGAAAGAGAAAAGGTGTAGCCAGGGTGACAAAGCTCTATTTTTTGACAGGAAAGTATAATCTGAGGTCCAAGAAGCAGTAGCATCCCCTCATGGTAGAGTGAAGGCTCACCGGGCAGCTGTACCAGAAAAAGGTCAAAGGGCAGAATAGACCTGGCCCTAGAGAGTGGGAAAGTGTGGTACAGGAACTCTGGTGAACTCAGAGTTTCTTATGAGGAAAGCCATGGGCTGTGTGGAGCAGGGAATGATTACTGAGAGCTTGACCATACTTGGAAGCCTGGGACTACATTGGAGTTGTTCAAGGTGCCATGGTTTGTTGGTAGTATGTATACTTTCAAATTTCTGAATGTCATTAACCCTATTTAATGTGATGTGTGATAGAATGAAGAAGTGTGGCATTAAGGAATTGATTAAGTCACAGGGCAAAACCCTCATAAATGCTGTTAAGGGCATTTATAGAAGTGATAGGAAGTCTATCTCCCCATCTGCCATCCATGAAGGAGGCAGAGCCCTGTGTGTTGGAAGCAGAAACCAAACTCTTGGCACACATCACAGTTTCCAGTGCCTTGGCCTTAGATACCCTTAGCTTCTAGGACTATAAGAAATAAATTCTGCAAGTGTCTCAGCCTCCGGCATTTTGTTAATACCAGCAAACTAAGATGGAAAGAGTGCCATGTTTGTGTATGTCTGGCAGTTGAAATGTTACTGTGCTCCTCACAGAGAAGGGCTTGACTGGAGATATGGGTTTCAGAGTCATGGGTTAGCACTGATATCATTACAGTGGGCCAGGTCACTGAAGAGACGATGCAGCTGGCAAATATAGGCAGGCTACTGAGAGCTTCCCTGACCATTACCAGCTTTTCTGCAATAAGCCCTATCTGGACCCAAGGACTCTCATCACTGTTTTTACTTTTAAGAATGTCCAGTAATGAGTATTGGATGCCAAATGGGAAATCTGGAGGTTCTGATATGTTTAATCATAGTATCTGACCTCATTTTACTGATTTTTCTTATAAAAATTGTACATTTTTATGGAGAATTATGAGATATTTAAATACATGTATATCTTATATAATACTCAAATCAAGGTAAACATCTCAATCTCAAATATTTAGATCAAAATGTGTTATTATAGTCCTTTGAAATGTATTGAAATATATATACATTGTCACTATCTATAGTCACTTTACTGCCCAATAGAACACCATGTCTGTCTCTTGTCTAGCTATAACTTGGGACAATTTGACCAACCTTTCCTGTCTCTCCCTCTGCTCATTTTGCTTTTGAGAAATAATCATGTCAGGATTAAGTAAACTCAAAGTACAAACAAGAGCTTAGATGTCTTGTTGGGTAAGAACTGTCACTCTGCAAGCAAGAAGGCCTGAGTTCAAATCCCTAGAACCCACCTTTATTAAAAGGCATGGCTGCATGTGCCTGTAACCCCAATACTGGAACCTGGAGGCCGACAGGAAGCAGATCCTAAGAGCTTTCAGGCCAGCCAGCCTACTGTAAACAGCGACTTTCTGATTCAGTGAGGGACCCTGTCTCAGCGGACTGAGACAGAAAGCAAGAGCAGAAGACACCAATGCCCTCTGCCCTCTGTATGCACATTCACTACACATGTGCCCAATGAGGAAGAACAAATGAGTGACGAAGTCATCACAACGAGTCACATTGTAGAAATGTCTTTCCTGTGAAGAATAGCAACAGGATGAGGAATGTAGCTAATCAGAACTTTTATTCCTAAGAGTCTATAGACAGCAGGGAAATATTCAACTTCTGTTTCACTGTTCTTTGACTTTAGTTTAAGAATTTGACACTTGGTATTGAAAGAAAAAGAAAATCCCACAATCACAACAACAGGAAGTGAGTGGAATTCTTTGCATATTTCACTCAAATTTTCAACTGTTACATTGTGCTTAAAGACAATTTAATGCATCAGAGTCTTATAAAAAAATTTAATCCTTAGCTATTTTAACTGGAGACAAGAAGAAAATTAAAACTTGGCACCTACTTCAAGTTCTAAGAGATTAAAAAAATAACTTGGCAACAGGTTTTGTACTTGGTATTACTCTTATTCATATTCCTCCTCTATGCCAATAAATATTCCTCTAGGGAAAAGGTAACTGTAAAGCCAAGTTTTGGAAATGTTCTGAGTTTCATAATTTGGTTTATTCATGAGAATAGAAAAAATGCTGGTATCTGGAATGTACATGGTGTGGCAAGGTTGCCTTCTGTTCCAAAATGTCCTAATCATGCTTGCTTGCTACCATTGTGATGAAGGGTTCTCCATTATAAATTCAAACTAGCTGGGACTTACACAGAGTCTTCCGTTTCCACATTGACCACGTGTACATATGTATACACACACGCAGTGGTGTGAAAATGATGGCATTTGTCTCTCTGCTTCTGAACTTTCACTTCAGTCTAGAGAATTCAGCCTCTCAAGAGAAGACCTATCTGAGAGAGTGCTTGAGAATCCAGAACATGACCCTGTAGCATTTTTAAATAAAAACTTGGAATTTTAGATCTGGAGTCTATCACTGAGATTCACTAAATTAAGACCATGTATGATGGGGTACACATTATCCTCAGCAGGAGCCTGAGGCAACAACAAATACATGAGGGTAGAGATTTCCTCAAATTTACCATTTTATTTCTATGGCCATACAGTATTTGACCAACACAATAGCAGTACATTGAACAAACAAATACTGTCATGTTCAAATGTCAAAATTCGAAGCAAAGGGAGCTATTGAAAGTCAGTAGCAGAACTGGAGCCCTGGGCTTCATACCACGATGACAGCAAGGCTGTCACCAAGGCATCGGGTTCTTCTCTCACTTGAGTGGGGGAGAGCGTCATGTTTCCTGGTGGCTTAGAGAGAGGCTTGGCCTTGAGAATTGCCTCAGCCGATGGAACACGAGAAGAGTTGTGTGCTGTCCAGTCCTACATTTTTAAAACTCAATGTGTGAGTGTCTGTGCTTGCCACCTTCTCCTAGCATACTAGGTTGTGAGGAGATGGAAACAGTCTGGAATTCTGAGCTCCCACAGAGGACTACAGCTCTGAAAAGATAGCTGATCCCATCACTCATGGTGCATGAGAAATGACCAACTTTTTGTTCTGTCAAAAACTAAAGTTTCATATTGGTTAGAGCAGTATTCCCTACCTTTCTCCCTCTATGCACATCCCTGAATAGCATGACCTGGGCTTAAAACCTGCCTTTGCTACTCATTAAGGCCTTTGTTTCTGTGTCCCAGTCTCTCCCTCTCCTCACCCCTCTCTTCCTTTCTCTGTTAAGCCCAGCAAGAGCCTAACTTTTAGTAGGTAAATGAGGGAAACTCAGGAGACCAGATTAATCGATGCAATCACAAGAGGTTTATTTTAACCATTGCACAATGGGGTCACCCCTGCTGGTCAGCAAAGAGTGGCACTGGGAGACAATGGCCTTGGGTTTTTAAAGGACAAGGAGCCAGAATTTTTAGGGGTTGCAGTCTTGGCAATTCAGGATTGGATGAGGAAGCTATAAGATAATTGGTTAGTCTTCCAGTCCTACTAAGTGTGAATGTGGCTGCAATTAAAGGTGGGGATGGGGGGTAATTAGCTCATCTTTGAATATCGGGGCTACAGGCTTTTGGCCGGAGGTCAGGGGCTACTCAGAAGAAAGATTGAGGCCATCTGGGTTGGTTGTAAGAAATGCTGTCTCGCAGACAAAGGTCTGGTCATTCTTTTTGCTGAGTGAAGGTGGTTGCTTGCTCGCTTTCTTATCTCTGTCCTCACAGATGGCCAGGGTCACATTTCTACAATTCTCTGGAAAAGTACTTTAGCTTAACCTGTGCCTAAAGCCCAAAAATATAGGTTTTAAAATACATATGGGTTACAAAGTTAGTCTGATCCTTTCAGTCCCCCTTCCCTCAATCTATCCCTATCCTTATCCCTCTCACTTTACACCTAAATAACACAATTCAAATCTGCTTTAGATGCACTGAGATTCAGAGTAAAAATACAGAGATTAATTTCAAGGATCATCTATTATAGATTTTAATTCAATCAGACCAATGTTATCGGAGAGCATTCTCCAGATTTCTATGACGTTTAAACATAAAATTAATGCATTTATCACTTGCAAATTCTTACAGATCTCACAGAATTGAAATATGACATCTTTATATAATACTATACTTTAAAGTTACAAAACTATGAGTAGTGTTATTTGCATAATCCATATGTTCACCAGTTCAAAAGAAAAAATATCTTTAGATATTCAT